GTTTTTTGGGTCACATCCAGTGATGCACAGGGGTTACTTCTGACTCTGCACTCAGGAATTACTCCTGGCGGAGCTCAGAGGACCCTATGGGATGCTGAGAATTGAACGCTGGTCCACTGTGTGCAAGGCAAACGCCCTACCTGCTGTTACTATAGCTCCAGCCCAGGAAATAATTTTTTAATATTCTTCAGTCCACTTACACTTTTAAAATTATTAATGTTTCTTAAATTTATATTTGTTTGGAAGGGACTACTCCCAAAAGTGCTTGGGGAATACTCCCAACTCTGCTCAGGATTGACTCCAATGGTGTCCAGGGATCAAAGGAAGGCCTTTTGCATGCAGAGCATACTCTCAGTTCATTGAGCTATCTCTCCAGCCTCAGTGCTGCTTTTTTTCTTTTCTAACAATATTTAAGCATCGTGATTTGCAATATCATTAATACTAGTGTTTTGGGCCTGCAGCATTCCAACACCACACCCACCACCGGTGACTCAAAATCCCATTCCACTCATCTCAGTTCTATAGCTGACTCCTAGAATCTGTTGCGACTGAACTGTTGTTATTCCCTTAGTACATTTCTTATAGTTCACACAAAAGAGTAATCATTCTGTATTTGTCCCTCTCCTTCTGACTGATCCCATTTGGCATGACATCCTATAGTTCCATTGAGGTTGTAGCAAATTGGATGATTTCATCTTTTCTCAAGGTTGAGTAGGTTCCAGATCTTTATTATGGTGAGTAGTGCTGTAATGAACACAGGAGCATAAATGTCTTTTCAAAATAGTGCTTTTGGATCTTTGAGGTAGATACTAAAAAGTAGAATTGACAGGTTGATGGAGGCACTATTCTTAGTTTAGTGTTTTGAAGTCTTCCATACCATTTCCATAGAAGTAGAACCAGTATAATTCCCACAGAGGGTCCCTTTTTCACTGTATCTATATAAGCCCGGGGAGCGGGGGCTGCACCTTTAGTACTTCTTAAACTTTAATGTTTACATATGAAAAATCTGGGATTTTGTGAAAATGTTCATTCTGATTCATTAATGTGAAATAGTATTAAGTTTCTTCACTTCTAACAAGTCAGCACATGATATCGATACGGTTGTTCTGATAACTTTTATTTCTATAGTAAGAACTCAACAGTGTGTATAAGTACAATGTTATGTTAAATGTATCATATTTTAATATTAATCTGTCCTCCCATTGTTCATCGATTTGCTCGAGCGGGCCCAGTAACATCTCCATTGTGAAACTTCTTGTTACTGTGTTTGGCATATTGAATACTCTCGGTGGCTTGCCAGGCTCTCCGAGAGGGGCAGAGGAATCGAACCTGGCTGGCTCGGTCAGGCTGGCTGCGTGCAAGGCAAACGCCTTGCTATCGCTCCAGCTCAATAATAATCTAAAATAGAAAATTAAGTAATTATGCCCAGAGAGGAACAGATTTGGTTTTTGTGGTTTTTTTTTTTAATTTTTAGACCACATGTAGCAGTGCTCAGGGATAACTCCTGGCTCTAAACTCAAAGATCACTCCTGGCTCAATCGTGAGACTATATGGGGTACCAGGGATTGAACCTGGGTCGGCCACATGCAACCCACTGTATTATCACTATGGCCCCAGAAAAGATTTGTTTAAATTGTAGAAAACATAAGTAAATAACTGGATGGATGCCAAACTACTTAACATAAGGGTAAGTAAGCACAGGGGCTCAAGAGATAGGACAGGACTTAAGGCACTTGCCTCACATGTAGCTGACCCTGGTTCAATCCACAGCACCAAATATGGCCCACTAGCACTTCTAGAATTCACTCCTGAGCACAGAACCAGGAATACCTCCTAAACAATATTGAGTGTGGCCCAACAAGAAAAGAGCTACCATAGAGTACTGGTTCTTAGCTTTCACTTCAAAGAATCATCTGGAGACCTTTCAGAAGTAGTTTTCCTTGAGAATATAACTTTGTGTGCCTGATGCCAATAAAGCTCTCTACTGAGTTACTGCCAATGTGAAATCAATATGTAGTCAAAGGCTTCCAACCCAGCTTTTCCAGGTAACAAATGAGGATAACATTGTCCAGTAGACAAAATTGATAAGACTGGAGATATCAAACAGGGGTTAAGGCACTTGCCTTGCATGTGGCAGGCCTGAATTCCAACCCCAGCACCACATAGTATCCCCCAGTCCCCACCAGGAGTGATTACTGAGCACAGAGCCAGGACTCACCCCTGAGTACAGCCAAGTGTAGCTCCAAAACAGAACAAATAAAAATGGCAATAGTTTATTGAATATTTCTGGGGCTATAGAGATAAGAGTTAAGATGTTTGCCTCATACACTGTTGGCCCAGGTTTGATTTCTAGCACTCCCCAAGCCCACCAAGAATGAGCCTTGAGCACAAAGCCAGCAGTAAGCCTTGAGCACTGCCAGATATGTTAAATACACACCCCGCACCATAGTTTATTGAGCATTTCTGTACTTTGGTCTCAGTTAAATGCCACGGAGATGGCCATAGCACAGTCCTCAGGCACCTTGCAGTTTAGCTAAGAAGTGTGGAGACAGAACTTTTTAGATTAATGAGATCAGCTTGGGTGCCAGGAGATATCTGGGGTCAGCATATAACTGCTTATGCAGCTCTCAACCTTGTTCGTACATTAGATAAGGAGTGATTAATACAGGACCTGGGAATAGAAACCAGGCCTTTGTATTTTCTGGCACTCCCCAGATGATTCCCATGCACAGACTGGTTGAGAACAAACTCATGAGACTTGGTATTCAGAGACTTGGACCCAGGAACAGAACATCCATTGTCCTCTCTGCTGTCACTGAAATGGAGACATTTTTCTCCTTCCTTCTGTCCCTTTCCCAGCCCTCCAATCTCTTCAGCTCCAACTAGAGCCTCCACTCTCTCTTTTCCTCTATGAACTTCCCACTCAAATGTGTGAGTCACATTCCTAGGCAGGAAGTACAGTCAGGAGACATGTTAGAAGGGGTGTATGTTTGTTTACTAATGTAGAAAAAAATTGAAGTTCAGGACCAGACGTTTCTTTTTCCACGTCCTGATCCAATACTACCCGTCTGCTACTCTCTTTTATAAAATACCAAGCTGACAGTGTAAAGTCTTACTTGGGATCCAGGCGTTTCAAAGGATCCAGTTGTTATTGTTGACATAAGATAACTTTTGTTGCATAGGTGACTTGGAAAATAATAGAGATAAATGAGTAAAATCAGAGATATGATCTGGGATTCATTTAGTTTAATGATATCGATAGACCAGTTCTTTTTTTTTTCTTTTCAGGTCCTACTCAGCATTGCACAGGGGTTACTTCTGGCTCTGCACTCAGGAATTACTCCTGGCGGTGCTCAGGGGACCATATGGGATGCTGGAAATCGAACCTGGGTCTGATGCATGCAAGTCAAATGCCCTATCCATTGTGCTGCCGCTCCAGCCCCTACACCAGTTCTTGAGAGCTTAACTCTCTTGGTATTAAACTTTGAAGTACAACGTTGAAAGACAAAGAAAACTCTGTTTTTTTTTCCTGGCATACAATGCAATGCATTAATTGCAGAGGAGACTTTAAAATGCTGAGGCTTTTGTTGGGAATGTGGCACAGCATTGCCTCACATATGTGATGCCCTAGGTTCACTTGAGACTGTGGGGGGGAAATAACTGAGGCTTTGAAATATATAAAAGACTTAAAAAACTATTTAAGCCATAACAGTTCTTGCTTATAAGTAGATGCCACCTGAATATCTATTGTCCTCTTTGCTCACATTTAAAATTTGCGCTGAGACAGTATGAAACTAATATCCAAGGCCAGGGAAAATGGGCCAGATGGACTGGTCAATGGTTGATCAATGGTGTGGGAGATGGAGGGTAGTTAAGATAGAGGAGGATACATTATGACATTATTAGTTGGAAATGATCACTCTGGACAAAAACTGAGTGTTGAACGCAGGTAAAGGGATATACTTGATAACCTTTCAGTATCTGTATAACAAACCATAATGCCTAAGACGAGAGAGAGAGAGAGAGAGAGAGAGAGAAAAGAGAGAGAAGAGAGAGAGAAAAGAGATGCCTTCCTTAGAGGTAGGCTGGGGTAGTGAGTGGCTTAGAGGGGTGGGAGGGAAACTGGGGATACTAGTGCTGGAAAATTACACTGGTGAAGGGATGGGTGTTGGAACATTGAATGACTGAAAAGCAATGATCAACAATGTTGCAATGTTTTGTCTCATGGTGATTCAATAAATTTTTTTTTTTTGCTTTTTGGGTCACACTTGGCGATGCACAGGGGTTACTCCTGGGTCCGCACTCAGGAGTTACTCCTGGCGGTGCTCAGGGGACCAGATGGGATGCTGGGAATCGAACCTGGGTTGGCTGCGTGCAAGGCAAATGCCCTACCCACTGTGCTATCTCTCCAGCCCACCCAAAAAAATTTTTAAATAAAATTTGCACTGAGAGCCAGAGAGATAGTGAAGGCAGTAAGATGCTTATCATGCATGTGATCCACCCTGGCTCTATCCCTGGAACCATAAGGTGCCTGAGCGTTCCCTGAGCACAGAGCTGGAATAGTCCCCAGCACAACTATGTATAACTTTCCGAGGGGGAAAAAAGAATTTTGGCTGGAATAATTAGAATGTCTGAGAACAGAGTATGTGTCTCTCTGCACCAATCTTCTCTTCTTTTTTACCTCCTTGGAGTTGGCTGGTTCCAGAACAAGGAATTATTTCTTAGACAGCAGCTGGCTGTTCCCAGGAAAACTTTCTCAGATACCCCGACAGACACTGCAAGATTGTTTGTGTCTTCCACTAGGACATCATTTTGTACTGCTTCAATTACATGCTGTTTGTCATGACAGTTCAGACTCAGAGGGAGGGACTACACAAAGACACATATCGGGAGCTATTTTTCAGATGGGCATTTCTTCCAGAAACCTTTCCAAACACCTGTTGACTTCTTTCAGACTAGGAAGTTGATTCTCAAGTTGAAATAAACACTACTTATTGCAGGAAAATCCTGAAGAAGGAAGAGCCAGTATTTACAAATCAGTGATCATCAACACGTCTAAAGAGGTTATGTGCTTCAGTGACTACCCCATCCCCGACCATTTCCCGAACTTCATGCACAACTCCCAGGTCCTGGAGTACTTCAGGATGTACGTGAAAGAATTTGGCCTTCTCAAATATATCCGTTTTAAGGTAAGGAATGTTGTGGGTTATCGTTGTGTTTGCAGTTGCCAAGAAAACAAATAATGGGCTTCTGTTTGCCAGTGTCCACATGTGAAGATTGGCTGAAAGGCACAAGGATCTTTCCTAGCCAGATAAAGATTGTACTCTTCATCTTCTCTGTGCCTGAAAAGTTATTCATAGATTCCTCTTCGCTTTTGGTTGCAGATCTGAGAATTCACTTGCCAGAAGGTTTCATCTTCATTTTATATCATTGAAACAGACCAGATTAGAGGAACGGTTTCCTAGATATAGAGAGAAAATGGCAGGATTGGAACTTTAAATCCTCTGGTTCCAGTTTGTTGCTACTGCTTAACCACTTATCTTCTTGAGTCTTTCCTAGTCAGTTATGAAGGCCTTGGTTTATGTGACCACAAGATCCTGGTAATATCATTTAGGGAAAGTTATTAATCAAGTGAAAAAGGAAGCTCTGGTCTAAAGGGAGGAGCACTATGGGCTAGAGTGATAGTATAATGGGCAGGGCTCTTGTCTTAACATGCAGTTGACCCAGATTCCATCCCTGGCACCCATATCATCCCCAAAGCTGAAAGGAGTGATCCCTGAGTACAGTCAAAGGTTGGCAATTCCCGCAAAATATTAATTTAATAAAGAGAAGAACACTGAACTGAGGAACAAAAACTTGAATTCTGGTCTTTGTTCTATTACTAACCAAACTGTAGCCTCTAACCAAATAAGTTTCTCAACTTCAGTTTGTCTTCATCTTCTTATTTTTATTACAACATGATTGTCCTAGATCACTTTAGGGGGTTCATTCAATGCTAAAATATTCCATCATTTTTCTATCACTTTTGACTGTGGCCACAAAAGAAATTTCTGATGGCTAATAGAAAAATCTATCACTTCCTACTTTCTGATCATTTTGCTAAACTCTACCATTCTCTAACAATAATGATAAAATAGTAGAATTGAGTAAACATAGCAAATTACTTCATTTTTACAAAATAAAACCCACTAATATTTTATTACACCTCTCTCCAGCTTATCTCTTACCCCTTCCTCCTTTCCCATCAGGGAAACTTGATTTCATCACCAATGTCCAACAGGTTTTAAAAAATTGTTCTTCATGTTTGGACCACAGTTGATGGTGTTCTGGAAACCATGTAGTGCCAGTTCCCATATGCAAATCACATGCTCAGCTCTTTGAGCCATCTCCCTGAAATTTCCATTTATTTATTTATTTATTTATTTCAGTGCTGTGTATTAAACCTGAGGCCTCATTCTTTTTTGGGGGAGGGCGTGGGGGGAGTCACACCCAGCAATACTCAGAGGTTACTCCTGGCTCTGCACTCAGAAATTACTGCTGGTAGTGCTCGGGGGACCGTGTGAGATGCTGGGGATCAAACCCAGGGTGGCCCTGTGCAAGGCAAATGCCCTACCCGCTATGCTATTGCTGCAGCCCCTCAGGCCTCACTCTTGCAAGGCTCATTTTCTACCACTGAACTATATTCCAGCTGTTTATTTATTTATAGAGCCAGGATTTAAACCTAGGGCCTCGTATATGATGCATGTGATCTGCCTCTGAGCCAAACCTCCAGCCCTAAATTTCACTTTGCTTGTTCTTTTCCTCTGTTGCATACCTATGTCTTGTATACATGGTTGAAATCATCCAACACATCTTTTTACCCATTTGGCTTATTTCATATAATTCCCTCAGGCTCCTTCCATTTTGTTACAAATGACAAAATTTTACCTTTTATCACTGAATAATATCCCCACATATAGATATATGACATCTTCATCCTATCAACAGATTGAGAACTTTAATTATTTCTACATTATTGCTATTGTAAATAATTCTGTGATAAACATTGGGGTGGGTTTAACTTGTTCTGTTCTTGTTTTCATATTCTTCTTAGATACCCAGGATGAGACTGCTGTATATTATGGTAGTTCTATCTTTAGTTTCTTGAAGAAGCTCCATAATATTTCCCAACAGTGTAGGAGGGTTTTCTTTTATCTGTATCCTGAGCAGTGCTTATTCTCAATGTTTTCCTTAGGCTGGGTAGAGTAACCATATTTACTAATGTTTTTATAAAGATAAAAATGACAGCACTGACTGTCCCATCTAACATTCTCCTTTTTAAACAATAGTTTTTGTTTGTTTGTTTGTTTGTTTGTTTGTTTTGCTTTTTGGGTCACACCCGGCAACGTACAGGGGTTACTCCTGGTTCATGCACTCAGGAATTACTCCTGGCAGTGCTCGGGAGACCATATGGGATGCTGGGAATCAAACCTAGGTCGGCCGCGTGCTAGGCAAACACCCTACCCTCTGTGCTATTGTTCCAGCCCCAGAAATAATAGTTTTTAACATTATTTCTGGAGCTGGAGCTGGAGCGATAGCACAGCGGGTAGGGCGTTTGCCTTGCACGCAGCCAACATGGCCGACCCGAGTTCGATTCCTCCGCCCCTCTCGGAGAGCCCGGCAAGCTACCGAGAGTATTCGATATGCCAGACACAGTAACAACAAAGTCTCCAATGGAGACATTACTGGGCCCGCTCGAGCAAATCGATGATCAACGGGAGGGAAAAAAAAACATTAAATTTCCTTTTTATTGATTCTGGTTTTATTGATTAGAGGTTGTTCTGGGCTGGAGGGATAGCCCAGCAGTTAAGGTGTTTGCCTTGCATGTGGCCGACCCGGGTTTGATTCCTCTGTCCCTCTCGGATAGCCCAGCAAACTACCAAGAGTATCCTGCCCACAAGATAGAGCCTGGAAGCTCCCCTTGGTGTATTTGATATGCCAAAAACAGTAACAAGTTTCACAATGGACACATTTCTGGTGCCTGCTCAAGCAAATCAATGAACAATGGGATGACAGTGCTAAAGTACTTTTGATTCATCAGTAATTTACAGCATTATATAATTATAGGGATCCATCTTAACACTTCTCTATGTGTATATAAATGTCAGCACACCTACCACTAAATCTCCAGTGCCATTCCCTGATCAAAACGATCCCTATACCCATCCCTCCATCCCTATAACCATCCCTCCCTCTCTCCCCCATTTCTCTCCATATTGTTACCATCAACATTTTCACCAAGTTACTTTTGTTCACAGTCTCTTTCGTTGGAGATAACTGAAAAATGGGTATTTTTGGGTGCCAAAGAAAAGTTCGTTTACATAAAACATGAGTAACTGAGATTCTTTTCTACTCCAGTGAGAAAGGCAGCCCCATAACTCCGTCCTGTTTAAGTTAGACAGTGAGAACAGGATTTGGGGCAAAAAGACATCAGAGCAGTTCCAGGGATGAAGCTCAGTGGTGCTGCAGATACCTCACGTGTGTGAGGGCCTGGGTTTAACCTCCAGCACTCCCCGTATACACTAAAATAGAAAAAAATACCAAAGGGTTCAGGAAGCCTGAGGGGAGAGGGGCTCAGAAGACAGACACTTAGTGCCTGGAGTGTCTCATATGCACAAAGAGAAGTTCAAGCTTTATTCAGTTATTAAATTGCCTCACAGCATGGTCCAAGAGGGCTAGTGATTTATAATTTTTCAGAAGCAGCAAAGAATACAGCATAAGCCAGGCAGCTGCTTCAAGGAAATCTCTCATTCTGGCCAAGCCATTGTCCAAAATGGCTCAGGTTGGACAATGAGCCATGGACAATACTTCTCCATGAGCTCTGATATGGCTTAGCACTGTACAAGGCAAGTCTGTCAGGAAAGCTGTCCTCTGCCCAGGCTGTGCTCACAGTCCCCTGTCATCATCACTTTCTTTTCAGACCACTGTGTGTAGTGTGAAGAAGAGACCTGATTTCTCCACTTCGGGTCAGTGGGAGGTGATTACAGAGTGTGAAGGGAAAACAGAGGCGAGTGTCTTCGATGGAGTCATGGTCTGCACCGGTCATCACACGGATGCTTACCTGCCCTTAGAAAAATTCCCTGGTGAGTAGTCAACCGGAAGGAAGATCCTGGAACTGTGCCCCTGAGGAATGGGAAAATCACGGTCTGAGTGCATCCTTCATTGGGATGAAATAATTTATTGCCCAAAAACATCAGGTTCCCCTAAAAGGTATTGGGATAACTTGAAGTACTGCCATGTGGGACATAGAGATAATGGTACTTTGATGATTGAGGTAATTTATGGAGCTGTATATTTAACTTCACAGAGACTTTAATTTTTCTAGGAATCAAAAGAATTTAGTGTTACTTCACATCAGGCTCGCTGAGGGCTTTTTAGCCATTAAAAGAAACAATGATACTGAGTTTCTAAGGAAGAAATTAAAGCTTCAAGAGAAGAATTTACTTACATGCCTTGGCCTAGATTTTCGTTTTGAAAAAAATAAAATCACTTGCATCAAGAAACATTGAAATATTGAAATGTTTCAATATTTGAAATATTTTAATGTTTCACCTTTCAATGAAATTATAGTAGGTATTTTTATTAAAAAAAAAAAAGAAAAGACCAAAAGAAATGGTTTCTGAGGCTGTCTGAATTTGTGTGTCTGTAGGTCCCAGAGACAAACATAACCTGATTTAAGCAGATGATTTAGGATAAGGAAATCACAAAATTTTGCTCTGAGCTTACAGGAGAAGAAAATAGATAATAATAGAATTGGGTAGGCATAAGAGTAGCTGGGTCGAAGCTCAGGTAGAACATTGGCATGAACTCAGATCACAGGGAAAAAGGAATTTAAAAAATGATATCAGGTAAACTATCACCCAATATTCATCTTCCCTTCTCTTGCAGGGATCAAGAAGTTTAAGGGACAGTATCTCCATAGTCGAGACTATAAGAACCCACTGTGCTTCACTGGGAAGAGAGTCATTGTCGTTGGCATTGGGAATTCTGGAGTGGATCTGGCTGTGGAGATCAGCCACAGAGCCAACCAGGTTCATATCCGTCAACTGTCTACTTCGTTTTACCGAGGAAGCTGCAGGTGGACCCATCAGAGGGCGTGGAGGCCTTCCAGTCATCTCTCAGTGACAAGCATAGGACTTGGTTTCTTGTAGGGCCAGGAATGTGCCTCAAATGGCAGAGAACAGGCCCCAACCACAGGTAGAGCTCTAGGTTTAGTGCAGCTCTAGGTTTAGTCCCTGGAACCACAAGTGCTTTGGTGGTCCTTAGCACTAAGGGTCTGACCTCGAATCTAGCACGTTTATTAGTTAGATGTCTGTCATTCAACATGACCACAGACTGTGTCCATAATCCTAATTAGCTGTTTCTAGACTCTTTGACTTGTTGAAATGAAGCTGTTAGAGTTCGGCTCTTCTGTTGGCCAGCAGAATGCTCTGAGGTGATGCAAAGCATGAGTCAGAGAGAGAGTATAGCAGGTAGGGCATTTTTATTTACACGTCCCCCATCTCGGTTGGATTTCTGGCACCACCAAATCTATTGCACAGAGCCAGGAGTAAAGCCAGAGCATGACTGGGCGTGACCCAAAACTAACAAAAAATACTTGAAAGATTCTTCAGAGAGGGAGATCTTTTTTCTCTCCACGTGGATAAAAGAAATCAGTCTTTTCTTTCCAAAGACAATACAACTATCAGAGTGAAAAGTATCCACTGGGGAACACTTACCAGGCTACTGCCTCCATCTTGCATCCACTTAGAAAACAAAGAATGGGTACTGGAGCGATAGCACAGCAGGTAGGGTGTTTGCCTTGCACGCAGCCAACCCAGGTTCGATTCCCAGCATCCCATATGGTCCCCTGAGCACCGCCAGGAGTAATTCCTGAGTGCAGAGTCAGGAGTAACCCCTGTGCATTGCGTGGTGTGATCCAAAAAAGAAAAAAATAAGAAGAAAACAAAGAATGACTTGGGCAGAGCGATAGTACAGTGTGTAGGGCATTTGCCTTGCACACGGCCGACCCAGCTTCGATTCCCAGCATCCCATATGGTCCCCCTGAGCACTGCCAGGAGTAATTCCTGAGGGCAAGGCCAGGAGTAACCCTTGTGCATTGCTGCATGTGACCCCAAAAGCAAAAAAAAAAGAAAAGAAAACAAAGAATGGCTCTGAAGCAATGTAGATGTCCTTGAGTGTTTGGTTTGGGTATCAGAAATTCTGAACTAGAAAGTGTCTTTGTCACAAATTCCTAGAAAAGACATGTGACTGTTATGTGTTGTTATTCATGTCTTTACTATGTCATAACTTTTTGGGGCCAAAACAATGCCTGTTTGCTCTTTAAGATTTATCAGCTGTCAGACTTTAGGCACATTCTTCCCCCTCACCATGCCATTTATCCATAACATGGAGATGATAAAAATATCTATCACAAGAGACTGTTATCTGAAACTTATCTAAGAATGTAAGGACAAGTCTCACAATGGAGATGTTACTGGTGCCCACTCGAGCAAATTAATGAACTGCGGGAGGACAGTGCTACAGTGCTAGAGTGCTATGATGTTAAAGAAAAAAGACTGGGTTTTCTCTTCCATAATCTCCTATGCTTTCAACTTTCCATTCCATGATTCAGAGTAGATTGCAAAGGTGACAAGTGCTAGAGAAATGCAACAGATGGCAAGAAAATTATCGATCAAAAATTGTCTGTGGCATCTACAGAGAAGAAGCAGGTTTGATCTGGATCTTAAAAGTGAAAAACTGAGGGATTAATAAGATAGGGGACTTTTCGTAGAGGGATAATGATATTCAGTAAAAGTTCAGTAGTAGCTCAGAGCAAGACATATTTGGGGTCAGTGAACACACCCGTTTTATTGTATGCTTAGTGTCTGAGAAGGAAGATAGTAGGAAATAAAAAGGAAATTAAAAATAAGTTTGTCCAGGGGCTAAAAGACCAAACTTTTTTGTTGTTGCTTTGGGACCACACATAGTGGTGCTCTGGGTTTACTCCTGGCTCTAAGCTCAGAGTTCACTTCTCTGGGCAGGGCTCAGGGGACCGTATGTAGTACTTAGGATCAAAACCAGGTCTGCCACGTACAAGGCAAATAAACTACCACTCTACCATCGCTCCAGCCTGAAAGGCCAAACTATTGAGTTTGACCTTATTCTGGAGGAAAATTAGGTATTTTTGAAGGATTATGAACCAGATGGTGCCAAATTGGTAGTACAATAGGTAGGGCACTTGCCTTGCATGCAGCTGACCTGGGTTCAATCCCCAGCATCCCATATGGCCCCCCGAACCACACCAGGAATGATCCCTGAGCACAGAGCCAGGAGTCAGCCCTAAGCACCACCAGGTTTGGTCCAAAATAATGTAGCGCTGTAGTGCTGTAGTGTTGTCCTCCCGTTGTTCATTGATTTGCTCGAGCAGGCACCAGTAATGTCTCACAACAAATTGTGAGACGTGTTGTTACTGTTTTTGGCATATCAGCTACGTCACGGGTAGCTTTCCAGGCTTTGCCGTGCAGGCGAAATATTCTCGGTAGCTTGCCCGGCTCTCCGAGAGGGGGGGAGGAATCAAACCCAGATTGGCTGCATACAAGGCAAATGCTCTACCCGCTGTGCTATTGCTCCAGCCCAGTCCAAAATAATAATAATAATAATAATAATAATAATAATAATAATAATGGACTATGAACAAGAATGGAAAAGACAAACCACTTTTTCTATGTCCCAGGTATTCCTCAGCACTAGAAGAGGGGCCTGGATCCTGAATCGTGTAGGGGATAATGGATACCCCATGGATGTGCTATTCTCTTCTCGACTTAATCATTTTATGCGGAGGATTTTTGGTGAATCATTAGCAAACTTTGTATTGGAAAAAAAGATGAACCAAAGGTTTGACCATGCAATGTTTGGCCTGAAGCCTAAACACAGGTAGGTCTGTTTCCATCTCGGGAGTGGGGCAGTAATGGTGAAAACATTACTGTTTTCTGTGCTAATTGCTGAGCTCTGCTCATATTTTTAAAAAATCCATGAAAGGCCAGAGTCATGGCTCAAGTGGTAGAGTCCATGCCTTGAATGTGAGGGGCTTGGGTTCAATGCCCGCTCCATATGCTGCCCACCCGTCACCCTCTCCACCCCCACCCAGTACCACTACATGTGGCCTTTGGCTCCTGAGCACCATCAAGAGAAGCCCCCAAATTAGAATGACCAAACAAAAACAATTTAACCAAAAAAATTCACAGAATCCAAGATCATATTTCTCTTTTTTTTTTTTTTTTTTTTTGCTTTTTGGGTCACACCTGGCGATGCACAGGGTTTACTCCTGGCTCATGAACTCAGGAATTACTCCTGGCAGTGCTCGGGGAAACTGGGCATCCTTGGGGATGCTGGAAATCGAACCCAGGCCGGCCACGTGCAAGGCAAACGCCTTACCCACTGTACTATCACTCCAGCACCCCAAGATCATATTTCTACCTTGCTCCCATGTTACGTTTTTCTAACCAACTCCTTTTCTTAATATTCAGATTTACTTACTACAGAACAATAAGTACCCATATGCTCTTTACTTATTCACTTTTTATAAATACTTTGCTGTCTATGAAAATAGATCCATCCATATATAAAAGAAACACATGCATGAATACATTCATATTTTTTCTGAACCACTTAAGAAAAAATTGCAGTCATTGGCACTATCCTAAATTCTTCAACATATATCACCTAAGTAAAAAGTTATTCTCCTACATAAATATAATTATCACAATTGGGAAATTCAACATTAATAAATCTCCATTAACTAATATATTACATATCTCTATTCCCCAAGTTGTCTCAGTAATATTCCATATATCTTTTTTGGTTGGTTGGTTTTGGCTTTGGTTTTTGGGCCACCTCTGGAAATACTCAGGAGTTACTCCAGGCTCTGCACTCAGGAATAAATCCTGGCAGTACTCTGGGGACCGTAGGAGATGCCACGGACCAAACCTGGGTCAACCATATCCAAGCAAGAGTCTTACTCACTGTACTATTTTTCTGGCCCCTCTTTTTCATTTTTAAATTCAGGAAGCTGTCAAATATTACATTATTACAATGGGTTATTATTTATCTTTATTCCATCTTAGCCTGAGATAATTCTCCAATTTTTTTTTACATGAACAGGGTTTTTTTGGGTTTTTTTGTTTTGTTTTGTTTTGTTTTTTCAGGGGAGAGTAGTGGGGCTTACTCCTGCCTCTGTGCTCAGGGATCACTCATGGCAGGGCTCAGGGTAACATATGGGATTCAAGGATCAAACCTAGGTTGATCATGTGCAAGGCAAGTAAATCTAAGCAAATGAATAGTACAGCCCTGCCTGCTGTACTATTACTGTGACCCTTGACATGAAATTTTGAAAAAAGAATCCATATCAATTGTTTTTCAAAAGGACTCTAAACATAGACTAAATGATTATTTTTCCTCTGTTATAATCAGGCTAAAAATTTTTGGCAATAACACTCATAGGCTGTATTGTGCCTCTTGTTGGGTAATATAAGGAACCACATGATATCAGATTATTCCATATTGCGTTGTTAAATTTGATCACTTGGATAAAGTGGTATCTACTTGGTTTCTCCTTTGCAAAGATCTCTTACCTTTAAAATTAATCATTGGAGTGATACTTTGAGATTGTATTCCCTGATGTTCTTTCACCCAATATTTCACCCCCTTACTGAAAACTACAGATAAACATCTATATCTTTGATGACTACAAAATAATGGAAAATGCATAGAAAGATAATAAACAGGATAAGAAAGTTACATTCTTATTTATGATTTTTTTTGGCTTTTTGTGCCACACCAAATGATGTTCAGGGGTTACTCCTCACTCTACACTCAACAATTACTCCTGGATTGAACCCAGTTGGCCGCATGCAAGGCAAACACCCTACCCACTGTAGGAAGTGACATTCTAATTAGGTCTTAGAAAAGCAAAATCTACATTACGCTCTGAGACATGCATGATTGACCTATTGGCAAAGATGGTCCAGCAGACAGGCTCATTAAACAGGTACATAAAAATCTTATGCTTGACCACAAGAAAGGTTGAATGAAGACCACTTAGAGCAATTGAAGAAATCTAAGCAAGTGAATCAAATAATAATTTAAATAAGTAAGTGATAATAAATATGTTTTAGAGCAGCCATTCAAAAGTGACGTTGAAGATAGATCATAAAGGGATGGAATAATAGGTGCTTAGGACAACTGTAATAGTTTGGGTGAGAGAGAGAACTGACAAAACTAGTTTGAGGATGTTAAAAGGACACAGAGAAGAACTTGGTGACCAAATACAGAGTTTTGTGAGTCAGACAACTTTGCAGATAGTGCTGCTGTCAGTGAAAAGGAAAAAGATCAGGATCTAAGCAAAAGTACAGCAGGTAGAATATTTGCTTGCTGACAGCCCAGATTCAATCCCTGGCATCCCATATAGTCTCGCAAGCACTGCCAGGACTCTGGGCCACTCACGTATTTAAAGGTAAGTGATCTTGGGGGCTGGAGCAATAGCACAGCAGGTAGGGCACTTGCCTTGCATGCGGCTGACCTGGGTTTGATTCCCAGCACCCCAGATGGTCCCCTGAGCACTGCCAGGAGTAATTCCTTAGTGCATGAGCCAGGAGTAACCCCTGTGCATCACCAGGTATGACCCAAAAGGCAAAAAAATTTTTAAAAATTTTTTAAAAATTAAAAAGTAAATGATCACAGAAGTTCGTCTAACTTATTCAATTTATTTGATAGAATAGTTAATATATTTATGGTCTTTCTTTCAAATAGTTGGCAATAATATGTAATTAACATAGTACTTGGCACAAATTAACAGTGTTTTCGAGTAAATATAAAGAAGTATGGGCATGCATCAAAATATTATAGTAAATTCTCCTAAAATAGGTACCATTTGACCTTATCCCTAGTGATGCTTATTTATAATAAGTTTATTGTGAAACAGTAACACCTGAGCACCCCCGCCCAAAAAAAAGAAAGAAAAGAACAGGAGAAAGATATGAGAGAAAGATGAAAACATGAGGGCAGAGAACAGAATCAAATTGTACCTAAAGGTTGGAATCAAAGCATAATAAGATGTAACAAACCCATAACAATTATATAAAATATATACATAAAATAAGTATATTCTGAGACTAGGTCAGCTCTTCCTGAACATGACAAGTTAAGAGTACTCAGCCTGCTAATTTAGAGCCCAAGATTCATTCTGCTTTCAGAACAATAACTAGTAACCCCATATTTTGGGGGGCTGCACCCTTATTTTATGTTACCTCTAGACACACTATTTAACAGGCTTTGAGGGTCCCAAGAGAGAAACATGGAAAACCATTTTGATATAAATTCTACAATTCTAGGCTCTGTAAATGTTGAGCAAGTACTTAATTTCTTTAGGCCTCCAGTTTTCTCATCTATAAAACCTTAGTGGTAGTCCTCAGTTGGAAGCTTGCCACAAGTGGTAGTGGTGGTGGGAGGGCAACTAGGATAGAGAAGGAGCCACTATGACAAAGATGGTTGAAATGATCACTCTGGACAAGAACTGAGTGCTGAAAGTAGATAAAGGGAGAAACATGATAACCTTTCAGTACCTGATTGCAAACCATAAGACCCAAAAGGAGCAAAAGGAGAGAGAGAGAGAAGAAAAGTGCCTGCCATAGAGGCAGATTTGGGGTAGGGGATGGGAGGGAAACTGGAGATATTGGTGGTGGGAAATGTACACTGGTAAAGGGATGGGTATGTCTGAAACCCAATCATGAACAACTTTATAACTCATGGTGATTCAATTTAAAAATAAATAAATAAATACTAAAACCTGGGTAGCACCCATGCTACCTCCATCCTGAATGGGAGTAAATAAGTCAATGTATATGAATCCCCTGTATAAATACACACGTATAACTTATTATATAGTTTGAGAAATGATTGTCTAAGTCTAGCTCGTCAGTCTCTGAAACTGAAAAATGGGACCTTGCAGGATGCAGAGTCCAGTTTTGTTAGACTCCTAGATAGGTGAGTAGAAACTGTTGATCTCTGGCTTTATTGTAGCACTAAAAAATATTACTATTCCATGAGGAACCATGGATGCAATCCTTACATAAGACCCTTCCTTCACTTCTCCAGCACCTTCCCTTTCAAAATCATTTGGATATCATTCAGCTTCTCCTATGAGCTCCAGGTCTATGCCAAGCCAGCATGCTAAACCTTTACAAAGTTTCATTTCCAAGAAGGAAAGTAAAGGTAAAGGTAAAGGCCCTCCCGTTGATCGTCGATTTGCTCGAGCGGGCCCAGTAACGTCTCCATTGGAGACTTTGTTGTTACTGTGTCTGGCATATCGAATACTCTCGGTAGCTTGCCGGGCTCTCCGAAAGAAGGAAATGAATGGCATATTGTTGAACCGCCTCCATGAAAGTAAAATATTATTTACAAGGATATTTCTCTCTCCCTCTCTCCCTCCCTTTCTCTCTCTCTCTGTCTCTCTCTCTCTCACTCTCTCCCCTTCTCCTTCTCTCTTTCCTATTTTCCCACATCCCTTTTACTCTTTCTATCATCCCATTTCTCCTTTGACCCTTATCACCGCTTGCAGACCTCTAAGTCAACATCCAACAGTAAACGATGACCTGCCAAATCGTATCCTTTCTGGGAGGGTGAAGGTGAAAGGAAACGTGAAGGAATTCACAGAAACAGCTGCCATATTTGAAGATGGTTCCAGAGAGGATGACATTGATGCCGTTGTCTTTGCCACGGGCTATAACTTTGCCTTTCCCTTTCTTGAAGATTCTCTCAAAGTGGTCAAAAACAAGATATCCCTGTATAAAAATGTCTTCCCTCCTAACCTGGAAAAGCCCACCCTTGCAATAATAGGCCTGGTCCAGCCCTTGGGTGCCATTATGCCCATTTCAGAACTCCAAGGACGCTGGGTCACACAAGTATTTAAAGGTGAGTGATTCTTCAAGTTCATCTAATTTATTTAATGTATTTGATGGAATATTTAAATATATTTATGGCCTTTCTTTGAATTAGTTGCCAACATGGCCAACCCGAGTTCGATTCCTCCGCCCCTCTCGGAGAGCCCGGCAAGCTACCGAGAGTATTCGATATGCCAGACACAGTAACAACAAAGTCTCCAATGGAGACGTTACTGGGCCCGCTCGAGCAAATCGATGAACAACGGGAGGGCCTTTACCTTTACTTTTACCTTTACCTTTAAATTAGTTGCTACAACATAGGTAATTGAAACAGTATTTGGCACAGTCAAAGTTTATTTCTTGAGTGGATATAAAGAAAAAATTCATAACCATGGACATGCGTCAAAATATTATGATAAATTTTTCTAAACTAGATACCACTTGACCTTATTCCTGGTGATGCTTACTTACTACATTTACTGTGGAACAGACAACATTTTTGAGGAATTATTCCTGAGGTGTTTCTAATATGCATTCCAAATTAGTAATAAATAAAAGAATCATGCTTCATTGCCTTTGCATTCCAAATCTAGCACATAAAGATAACCTAACATTATATATATATATATACATATATATATATATGGCTAGAGCAATAGCACAGCGGGTAGGGCGTTTGCCTTGCACACAGCCAACCCAGGTTTGATTCCTTCATCCCTCTCAGAGAGCCTAGCAAGCTACCGAGAGTATCCGTCCCGCATGGCAGAGCCTGGCAAGCTCCCTGTGGTGTATTCACTTAATCACTTAATCACTTAACTTCCCGTTAGTCGTCGATTTGCTCGAGCGGGCGCCAGTAACGTCTCCATTTGTCCCTGTCGCGTGCTAGTGTAGCCCAATGGCATCTGTTCGCTTCGGGAACATGAAGGGCCTCAAACCGATTGTTCATGATCTTGACGAAGAAGTCTGACCATCTGGAAGGTGGGCGGCCACGCGGTCTTCTGACATCCCATGGAATCCAGTCAGTAACAGCTCTAGTCCAGCGGTCGTCTTTAAATCTCATTACGTGACCAGCCCATCTGATTTTCGACACCTTGGCAAATGAGACAGCGTCCCTGATTCTTGATAGTCGACGGATGTCAGAACTCCGGATTCTTTCTCTCATTTGAGTGAAACGTGATATTCCAAGCATAGCTCTTTCTATTCTTCTTTGGGAGACCTGAATAGCGTTCTCATCCTGTTTATGTAGGGCCCAGGTCTCTGAGGCATATGTTAATGCAGGAAGAACAGTGGAATAACAAAGAGATGTGCCCGGAGCCGGAGGTTCTTCGTCCTCTTAGCTATTTCTTCGACGTTCTTGAAGGCGTTCCAAGCCGCTCTCTTCCTCCTGCGCAGCTCGGGTGCCAGGTCATTTTTCATGTTGACCTCTCGACCTAGGTACACATAGCTGTTGCATTCGGAGATGGTCGTTCCATTGAGAGCGAATGGGGCGTCAGGAACGAGGCTGTTTCTCATAAACATTGTCTTCGTAAGATTCAGCTGTAGTCCTACCTTTCCACGCTCACGGTCAAAGTCGGCCAGCATTTGTGCCGCTTGGCTGATGTTTGGTGTTATTAAAACAATGTCATCAGCAAAGCGGAGGTGGTGTAGTTGCCGACCATCTATCTTCACTCCCATTCCTTCCCATTCCAGTCGTCGCATGATGTTCTCGAGGGTGGCACTGAAGAGTTTCGGTGAAATGGTATCACCCTGCCGCACCCCTCTCTTGACATCAACGATCACTTCTTTGTAGAATGGTGAGATCCTGGTAGTGAATCCGCAATACAGCTCACGGAGGATCCTGATGTATTGGGTATTGTATGTATTGGTGGTGTATTCGATATGCCAAAAACAGTAACAACAAGTCTCACAATGGAGACGTTACTGATGCCCACTCGAGCAAATCGATGAACTACAAGAGGACAGACAGACAGTGATATATATACATATATATGTATATATATCCCCCCATATAACTACACACATCTAATTTATGAGATATTTTAGGAAATGATTGTCTAAATCGAGCTCGTCTTTCTCTAAAACTGGATTAGGCTATGGATTCAAATGAATGCCAGTTTAGCATGCAAGGTAAATGAAGTCCTAAAGTCTTTAGTAGACATGTCCTACCTGAGGCTCCGAACTTATGAACTTCCTTAGCCAATTTCCAGTTATATTCAGTGGCTGCACCAGACTGGCACTGAGAAAGTTAATATTTTGGGGGGCGGGGAACCATTCCAGCCCTTGGGCTTCTCAGCTCAGCCATGTTTAAGGGCCCCTCTGGTGGGGGGGGGGGGGGGCGGGGGAAGGAATCAAACTTGCAAGGCCTGAGCTCCAGCCCTTTGAGGTATCTCTGTAAAGCTTATCATTTAAGCTTTAGAATTGCTTATAACAATGTAAATACTACTCAGCTTTGCCCCCCAGCCATGTCCTTGGTATTAGATATCTACTACTTTTTCTACATCAATGCTTACACTTTTCTGTAAAGATTAGGCAACATGAGTTGCCCTTGGCCTTGTTCCACCTCACCAAATAAAGATATTTAAGCAGAAGTTGTTTTCCAGATGACTTTGCTTCCTTCTCCTTGTGACATAGGAAGTCATAAAGACTGTTGTTGTACAAATTGTTGTACAAATGTGGGTCTCTTTCCTTTTCCTTCCTATCTTGTTTTCCACATACTTTTACAACACATCATTCCCACAACCTTGTATTTCGAGAGCCAGAATTGGTTAACTGAATGTAAGAAATACTTTTCAAAGACAAAGCTAAACAGAGTAAGTTCTTGTTGTTAATTTCATTCTATTGTACTGGAGGTAGGGGAAAAAAATGTCAGTGGAGTCACTCTGAGCCCAAAAAGTTCTGCTATATTTCTTTGAATTCTCCACAGCATACTAACTATTAATAGGATTGTTATTCCTGCTGGACTATTTTACACATAACATTTTTATTTTTCTCTTTAGGGCTAAAAACATTGCCCTCAAAAAGCGAAATGATGTCAGAAATAGCTAAGACTCAAGAGAAACTTGCAAAAAGGTAAAGATAATGGTTAAGTTGCCTACTTAACTTTCAAGGAGAGCAACTGTGTACTATGTTTATCTTCCTTGAGTTAGTGAGCTGTAGATGGGCGATCAGAGATCTGTGGGTGCTTGGCTCGAGGGCACTGTGTGGGCCAGCAACCTGGCGTCCTGAGGCCCACTCAGGGCACAGTAGGTGAGAGCATGCTGGTCTGTGTGATAGGTTCAACAGCAACCTGCTGTGTGGTACTTGGGTGACCATGCTAATTCAACCCTCTGCAGTGTGGAATTTGAGCATCATCACTTGGAAATTTTTACTTGGACAAAATTTTTATTTGGACTAATGGGGGCCAGAGAGATAGTGCTGCCAGGAAGGTTCTCGCCTTATATTCCACCAACTGGGTGCAATCCCCAACAATACATATGGGTCCCTGAGTCCCTCAGGAGTGATCTCTGAGCACAGAGCCAGAAGTCAGCCCTGAGCACCACTGGCCTAAATCAAACAAACAAATAAATGAACACTAATGGTAAGTCCCTAAATTTTTGTTGAAAAGTCAGGGAAACAAATCATTCCAGGCCCAAAGGGATAAGTGATTTTCTTCAATTTTTGTCTGACCATACACTCCCCTTTATGTAAGCTTTCTATCGAACTATTATCCTTTCTCAGTATTCTCCAATTTTTTTCTCCTTTTACTTATGAACTTCTGCAAACTAAAGCATATAAAGTAAACTGTGTGCTTCTCACCCTTTTTCCCTTGTAAGACCTGACACGCTGCAATGTTCATTCTTACTCCTGCAAACTTCTTCTGAGGCTTGGTCATCCCTGACCAACTTTATACTCCTTCCTCTCAGTCCTGAGTTGGTATTGTGTAACTTCTCTTCCTTCTGAGAGAACTTCAGTTCTTTACTTGTGTGGCACTGAACTAGCCTATCCCCACTTTCCTCTTCTCTTTCCTTCTCCTCATTTTTTTCCTAATCCCCTTCTTATCATGAGCAGTTTCCACGGATATAATTTTTTAATGTTTTTATTTAATCACAGTGATATACATAGTTACTAAGTTGTTCGTGATTGAGTTTTGGGTTTTAATCATATAATGTTGCAACACCATCCCTTCACATTTCTCACCACCGATGGCCCTTTTCTTCTCTCTCTCTCTCTCCCTCTCTCCCTCTCTCCCTCTCTCCCTCTCTCCCTCTGCTTCTCTATCTTTCTCTTTCTGTCTCTCTGTCTTTCTCTCTCTCTATTTTTGGGCCTTATGGTTTGCAATACAGATAATGAAAGGTTATCAGGTATATCCCTTTGCCTACTTTCAACACTCAGTTCCTGTCCAAAAAAGATCATTTCCAACTATTATGTCATGTTGGTCCCTTCACTATCCTAACTGACCCACGGACCTCTATGGAGAGTCAGCTCTACTAGCATACTAAGTGTATGCATGCGTTTATTAATTTTTTTATTTTGAAATGGATATTTATTTTATTTTATTGTTTTTTTTTATGGGGAGCCACACCCAGCAATGCTCAGGGCTTACCCTGGCCCTACACTCAGGTGTAACACCTGGCAGAGCCCAGGGAGCATGCCTTTATTTAATCCTTGAAACAATTCATCCAGGCAAGTCCTAGTAAATCTTTTTTTGTGGGTCGGAACTATAGTACAGGGGGTAGGACATTTGCTTTGCATGTGGCCAACCTGAGATTGATTGCTGGCAATCAAATTCCTAAGTGCAGAACTAGAAGTAACCTCTAAGCATCTCTAGACATGGCCCTCTTAAAAAAATCCTAAAACACTAAATAAAACAAATAAATAAGTCTCTTTTGTGATGCTGTCATGAACGCCATACAGCTCTTGATCCATTCCCATAGGACAGAGGCCAACAGACCCAAGAATCCACCGGCCGGCCAGAGAGAAAGCTCTCAAATCCTCCGTTGTCTTGTCTTCTCTTGGAAACTATAGTCCCATTCCAACACATTCCTTTTTGACCATCGGTCAGTTTCTCTGGAATCATATCTCACAGGCTCTAACTCAAATTCATCTTCTCTCATTTTTCCCTTCCTGACCCTGATTTTTACATTCCTCTAGTAAGCCCATCTACACTGAGTTATCTCTCTAAATCCCACTACTTCCATGCAAGTATAATGGAACTGTATTTTCCCCATCTGGAAAACATTAAAAAAGTCCTTTTAGTGTTTAGTACTTGGTATAACCATTCCTTCTGATTCCGTTTAGAGGCATCTTGTGGCAGTAAATGATCCTCCCCTCCTTACAGGATTCCAGGGGGCGGTGGTCATGGGAAGTTCTGTGCTGTGACCCACCCATCCCTACCCTCCCCAAATCAGTAAGACCCCCAAACTTAGGAAAGTTTGTGGTGGCTTCAGATCCTCTCAGTAGTTGTGTTTCTCTCTTTCCTCCCTCTATCTATCCTTGCTTTCAGCTCAGGGCTTACTCCTGGCTCTGTGCTCAGGGTCACTTCTGGCACTGCTCAGGAAATCACATGCAGAACAGGGGAATCAAACCCAGGTCAGGAAGGCAGGCACTTTATCCACTGTGCCTGACTTTCCAGAACATGTCTCCTATAGTGTAGATAGTGACCTCTAATATCTTTTGCTTATATTCCTCTCATTCCTGCCTGGTTCCTTTACTCTGATGTGTAATGCCTTCATTTTTGTTCTGAGCTTATTTATATCTTTTATTTCTAATTAATCCCTGAAGGACTCATCATAGCTCTATTTAACTACCCTTTTCCGTGTGTCTCCTTAGCAGTGTGAAGCCACATACTTTACTACAAATCTTATATTCTTCTCTGCTTCATATGTATCTAGCTCATCTTCTGGAGTATACTAGAAGGTTGTTCGGGAAAGAAGCAATATAGTATCTTCTTTTCTATTTTCCACAGTTCCTGGCCCAATACTGAGCCAAGAACAGGTGCTCCTGAATAGTTGACTGACTCTTTGAACTGTGGCTATTCCATGGCCTTTCTTTTCTGCTTTAGGTACGTGGAGAGCCAACGCCACACCATCCAGGTAGATTATGTAGATACCATGGAAGACCTTGCTGAGCTGGTGGGTGCCAAGCCCAATCTGCTATCTCTGGCCTTGACTGACCCCAGATTAGCTCTGGAGTTACTAAAGGGACCCTGTACTCCAATCCATTATCGTCTGCAAGGCCCTGGAAAATGGCACGGAGCTCGAAAAGCTATCCTCACCACCGACGAACGCATCAGGAAGCCTCTGATGACGAGAAAAACTGAAGGCACCACTTCTGCAGCTTCAACGATCACAATGGCCAGGTTTATGCTGGCTGTCGTTTTCTTTGCTGTACTTTTGGCCTACTTGTAGCCATCTCATTACTGCTCCTCTGGTTTTCCTGGGAGAACAGGATCTAGAGATCAATGTCCTCAGACTTCTAGAGTCTGAGAACATTGAAAAGCTCTCAGTTTATATCATTTATTCCAAAGTATTGGTCCTCTTTCCTGTTTTTTCTCTCTTTCTCTCTCTCTTTCTCTCTCTCTCTCTCTCTCTCTCTCTCTCTCTCTCTCTCTCTCTCTCACACACACACACACACACACATTCATATTGACTCACCTCCTTTCCTCTGTCCCACTGCTCTGTCTTTCCAGTAGAGTCTGGAAAGACTCTGGACTTAGACTCCTAGTTCTCTCTGTGTGTGCTCTTCACAGAGCTATTGGCATGTGATATATGCTTAATACATGCTTCTTGTTTTTTATCACATATGATGATGAGTGACCATCTGTATGGGGCAGGGAGGTTCCATGAAACTCAGTTTCTGTCACGATTCAGTACTGCATTCATACTCCTATGCACTTCCAGGAGTAACCCCTAAGCACAGAGCCAGGAGTAGCCCCAGAACCTCTGATTATATCCAGTCATCCCACACATGTACACACACTTCATACCCTGCCCCACATAAAAAGATTTGGTTTTCTTCTGTCTAGAGGCTCAATCTATTTTTATACTATTATTATAACTAAAAGTTCATTTGCTGAGAGGTAAGAGAAATAATGGCATAACAGTTGTATATATGAAATATATATACATATCTGGGGCTGGAGCGATAGCACAGTGGTAGGGCGTTTGCCTTGCACGCAGCCAACATGGCCAACCCGAGTTCGATTCTCACCCCCTCTCGGAGAGCCCGGCAAGCTACCGAGAGTATTCGATATGCCAGACACAGTAACAACAAAGTCTCCAATGGAGACGTTACTGGCCCCGCTCGAGCAAATCGACGATCAACGGGAGGGCCTTTACCTTACCTTACCTATATACATATCTGGGGCTGGAGCGATAGCACAGTGGTAGGGCGTTTGCCTTGCACGCAGCCAACATGGCCGACCCGAGTTCGATTCTCCGCCCCTCTCGGAGAGCCTGGCAAGCTACTGAGAGTATCTCGCCCGCTCGGCAGAGCCTGGCAAGCTCCCCGTGATGTATTCGATATGCCAAACACAGTAACAACAAAGTCTCCAATGGAGACGTTACTGGGCCCGCTCGAGCAAATTGATGATCAACGGGAGGGCCTTTACTTTATATACATATCTAAGATAAAAATATCAATATGCACTTAAACACTTCATTTTACTACCTATTCCCTAACATATCTGATAACTGGAGTTTTCCTTGCTCTTTTCTAAACTAACACTATTTTTCTCAATGAAGACAGTACTTGCCATTTTCTAGGTACATGAGTTATTCAAATAAGTCTAGCTTCTGCCAATAGATTCAGCTTGTTAAACATATTTGGATTTTAACTGTCCAATCTTTTTTGACCTCTTTGTTCCCTTGTCAGGTGCAACAAGACCTTGCAGAGGGAACCTGATAACTAGCTGCCAACTATTGTAACAGGGCCTACAAATACCACTTGATTTGTCTCCTCTCATATCTGTTTTCTCTCTCTTACTCCCTCTCCCAATTAGATTTTTAAATGATGAGTTATTTGAAGGACTGGGAATGTCACTTAGAAGCAGAGCACTTGCTTTGCCTGGGTTTGATCCCAGGCACCAAAATCCAAAAAGAAGTATTGAAAGAAATTGTCTATGTATTCAATTAGAATTGGTATTGATTACATACAGGCATTGTGCTTGTCCTGATCTCATATAACGGAGCACTAAAAAACAGAGCAAATGAGTGTAGAATCAGGTGCTTCCCCTGCTTCCTCCTTTGTGGCCGTTGGCTCTGTTCGTATCTCACAGAGAAGGTAACTGGTAGCTTCCAGACATACTAAACTACGAGAGGAAAGGTACAAGATGTACCACCAGGTGTCAGTTCAAAAATAACTGGTGGGCAATGCACTTTGGTTTACTTATCCTAACAAAGGATAAATTCAAGTGATTAAAAGAACATTAGAACATATTATCTTTCCCAATATAAATATCTGTTAGACAACCAGAAATGAGAAGACCGCAATTTCCTCTTAGTTGTGTAACTCTCTGGATAATTGCTGGCCATTTCATCTGATTTGCTGGTGTGGCCTTTTGAGAATCAGAGAATTAAGAATTTATACTGCTTCTTAGTCTTTCCCTAATCCTTGTGATACTGGGGGCATAGCAGCTCTTAAAGTGGATCTGTCATCTTCTAATCTACAAATCACTCTAGTTCAAAAGTAAATCTGTTGGGCTGGAGCTATAGCACAGCGGATAAGGCACTTGCCTTGCATGTGGCTAAACCGGGTTCAACCCCCAGCATACCATATGGTCCCTTGGGTGATTCCTGAGTGCAGAGCCAGAGTAACCCCTGAGCATCACCAAGTATGGTCAATAGGCCTCAGCTGGGTAATCCAGGTTAGCACCCATTATGCAGTCTTGCTAGGTGCATGCCCATGGAGTGCGAAGGGCTCTCTCCCTTCATGCTTTCTTTCCCCATAATACTACATTCTTGAGGATATCCTCAGACAAACCCGAGTTTAGGATTATGGTACACAGTACCTACCTGCGTCTAAACACCCATGATCATTGGGGGGAGGGAGGGGGAGGAAAGTTTGAAAATGTGTTAAAATATTTTTTTGAAAGATCACCTGAGGACTGGGGAGATAGTACAGGAGTCAGTTGATCTGGGCATGATGTAGCCCTGTGCCCAGTGGCCCTGGTGATCTCTGGTACCCTCAGGTCCCAGCACTGAATCCACCCAGTTGGCCCAGTGTCCTAGGGATGACCCCCAAACATGCTTGAGAGCCCCCCAATAAAGGTTTCATAAGCATTGTGCATCTGTTGTGCATTCAGATAGTGAGGTCCTCCCGAAACAAACATCTGTTATGTTATAAACATCTTATAAAGAACTTAAGCAGTTCTGACAGTTAAATCAAATGTACCCAGGATGAGATTCTGGATCATTAAAGTGATATTTTTTAACTGTGGTTTTAGGTTAAAATGGTATTAACATAAACATTAAATAAATATTAGTAAAGTATGGGTTTGGGTTTAAAATGAAGTCCCAATATTGGTTTATTAATTGTGTCAAATGTATCAGAGTCACACAAGATATTGACAATAAAGGAGATTGTGCTTGGGATGTAACAGGAACTCCATCTTATCTTAACAAATTTTCTTGAATCAAAACTACTCTATAATTTAACAGTTATCTTTAAATTTTTTGGTTGAGCAAAAGGGAATGCCCTGCCACAGAGGCAGGGTGGGGTGGGAGGGGGTTAGGGTGGGGGGGTTGGGAGGGCTACTGGGATCACTGGTGGTGGAGAATGGGCACTGGTGGAGGGCTGGTTACTCGATCATTGTATAACTGAAACCTGCAACTGTACCTCATGGTGTTTCACTAATAAAAAAAAAATTTGGTTGAGAATTTGATCCAAAGCCACAAGTCTAATGGAATTTTCTCAGAGGAAGAATGATATTGGACTGCATTGTTCATGGAAGTTATTATGTTTTCTTCTTGATTAACTCTTCAAATTAATTAACTGTAATAAAGTACATTGTGATTTACTATAGCATTCTTGTTTCCTCTCTGAATGAGTCTATACTTAGTTCTTGAGGGGAGAAAAAGCTGCTGTATGGTCAAAGGACACATCTTATTATCACTTAAATAAATGTTTCCGTTTAGCTGAGCACAGTAAGGCAGTGATCTCCACTAGCAAAATGTATCATAACTAGCTGCAAGGCCATTTATAAAAGTTGTAATATAATGAAATATTGGGTCCCATTACTTTTGTCAATAGTTGACAATGTAATATTATGTAATATTTACTACCTGATTGTTTGTAAACATCCTCCAGCTTGTCCACTGTAAGGTTCCAGAGTGTCATGTTTTTCTAGACTCCGTACACAACCTCCCTCTGTGCTCTTCCTTTTCCGTAAATTTTCTAATTACCCAGCTACTTGGCACCTATTTCACCCTGGAGATTCCCATCATCTTTGGTCTTTCAGGAATCTCTTCTTGATCCCGTCATGAAATGGGTGTTCTTTATCTGCCCTTTCATATTACTTTAGTATTTTCCTTTTTCGTTGGGCTTTTGGTCACAGCCGGTGCTCGGGGCTTACTCCTGGTTCTGCATGCAGGAATCACAGTAACTCCTGGTTCTGCACGGGCTCCTGGTGGGACTAGGTGGACCATATGGGCTGCGGGGATAGAACCCAGGTCAGCCGCTTGCAAGGCAAACGCCTCGATGGCTCTGCTCCCTCTTCAGCCGGATAAAGTTTTTGGTTTTGTTTGTTTGTTTGTTTTGTTTTGTGGGTCACATCCGTTGATGCTCAGGGGTTACTCCTGGCTTTGCACTCAGGAATCACTCCTGGTGGTGGTCGGGCGACCATATGGGATGCTGGGAATCGAACCCGGGTCGGCCGCATGCAAGGCAAACACCCTACCCGCTGTGTTATTGCTCCAGCCCCCTGATGAAGTTTTTAATTACATTGGGTGACCACTTTTATCACACTAGATAATAATCGTTGCTCCCTCTTTCCCTCTGTAAGCCTCGGAGCCAGAGCAGCAGCTCGGAGGATCACTAGAGGAGAGATCCTCCCCCACCCCCCAGGCAGGCCGGGCCTGGCTAGGCCGCGCCCAAGGATTCCCGAGTCGGGGCGGCGCCGCGCGCTCGCGCCAGGGCCGCGCGCGCCCCCTGCTGGCGCCCCGACCGCAGTGCGTGCCAAGGTCGCCAACCATCGAGACGCCGGCGCGGCGGCTAGAGGGGCCGGCGGGCTCCCGGCGCGGCCGCCGGGAACGCCGGGGTGAGGGGGCGGACGACGGCGCCGCCGGCCTTGTGGCCATTTTAGGAGGCGAAGCCCGATCGCCGAGCCGGGGGCGCGGCCGGGAGCTCGGGCGCTTTCGGCGCGGCCTTGCGGGCGAGCGGCGGGGCGCGCTCCCGGGCGTGCGGGCGGCGAGCGCGCGGGCGCCCCGCGCGGGGATTCCCTGCCCGGCGCGGTGGCCGCAGGGGCGGGGCCGGGCGCCCCTGACGCAGCCGCGGGGTGTTCCCCGGCGCGTTCCCCGGCGCGGGAGGCTCCCCGCGCCCGGCCGCCGGCCCCGCACTCGCGCCGCGCACGCCGCGGCCATGGGCAACACCGCGAGCGAGCGGGCGGGCGAGCGGCACGGCCGGGCAGCGCGCGCCGAGGGCGCCGGCGGCGCGGGCCCAGCCAAGGAGCACCGCATCCTGGTGGGCAGCACGGACGACCCCGGCGTCTTTAGCCTGCCCGACGCCAAGGTGAGCCCCGGGCCGGAGGGCCGCCGGGCGGGGTCGTGCGGTGGCGTCGGGTCCGGGTTCGCGGGGACCTTCGCGAGTGGCTGGCTAGCGCCGGCCGGGCCAGGATCCGGGACCCGGGGCTCTCTGCAGCTGCAGCGGCCGTCCGTGAGTGTGCGTGCAGGTGCGAGCGTGCAGACACACTGCCCACCCTCCCCATCCGTTTCTGATGCCCACCCCCTTTGCGCCTGGCCCGGAGCGCCAGACAACTTGGCCATCTGCCAGCCCGCCCCGGGTCCGGGGGATCCCCAGAAAGGCATCCCTGGAACGTGTGCTCGGTTTTCACTCTGTTCTTTGTCATCGCCCGCGGCCGAGCAGGTGCCGCTGCTCCCCGAGTGCGCGCCAGGGAGCCCCGGGGCTCCCCGCTGTCCGGGGTGCCCCGTTACTGGCAGGCAGCAGACAGCCCCGCCCGCCGCCTTGGGGGCCTTTGCTGCCCTGTCCGGGGGGGCTTCGTGTCCACACTCCTGCCAAGGCCGGCCAGGGTGGCCGTTAACGCCCCCCAAAGCTAGCAGTCTCTGGTCGCGGAGGTTGGGGGTGGGGACGCGGGGCCAGCCGGGGCGACTGGAGCCTGGAGGGGTCGAGAGGAGCACCACTGCCCGCCCGCGTGGGCACCTCCTGGAAGTTGCGCGCGACTGTGCCCAGCCCTGCTCCCCCTTGAGAACGTGGTCCCAGAAGCGGAGGCGAGGGGCATTTAAGGGGTTTGTGGTGGGGTCCGGGTCTGTAAGATCCCACACCCAGGCCTCCTCTCTCCCTCCCTCTTGCGGGGGCCTCCCGAGCATCCGCCTGAGCATCCTCCCCCCAAGTCTTCTTGCTCTTCCCACGCCCATGACTCAGGATGTGAGTGACCAGGACCAGTTGTTCCTGCGGTCAGCAGTGCCCCGGAGAGCCCGATGTCAGCCCGGAAACGGGCTCCGTGAGTGCAGGGAGTTAGAGTAGATGCCTTTTGTAGGAAAAGGAGAATGAGTCCAGGGCGACCCTTCTCTAAAGGTGCTGTGCAGTGGAAAGCCGCCAGCAGGATAGTTCTCGTCCGACCTTCTCACTTATTCCCTCGGTGTCTGTCTGGATCATTTTCCTGCCAGAGGCCTGATTGCCCTCCCCCCATCCCCCACCATGGTTTTGCTGGCTGTTTAACGTTGAGTAAACAGTCTTTCTCCTAGTCAGCTGTATGCCTCCCGCAGAAATGCCATGTCATGCGTGGAAGGGCTTCCTTCCAAAACCTCGGCTTATTAATAGTTTGCACCTCTCAGAGCCTGAATCTAAAATCACAGAAGTCACTGTTGCTCAAAACTGGGTGGAAGAATTGAAACATCGTGCTTGTTTCCAATTAGATAAGACACAAGGATGAACTGCACACCTCTCTGTGGTGGGGTGGGGGGTCTCGCCCTGGGGTGCACACAGGGACCTCACTGGAACAAATCTCACACATATACCCCAGTCCGCTCACCCTTCCCACCTATTTTAAGCAAATTTCAGATAGTATATCAGTAGCTTATTTGTCAATTTAAAAACATTTCTCCAAAGATGAGGGTTTTGTTCCCCCTTTTACTCAGTCACAGGAATATCTGGGGCATTCATAAAAATAGAATCCCAATTCTAGATCTGAGTCAAATTTGAGGGTTATTCTTAGGCGTATTTCAATTTCTGTAATTCTGATAGAGAACGCCAACCAAGCAAAAGTTATTGCTCCCAGAGTATAGACAAAAAAGCTCCCACTTCCTCCAACTCCTCTGTAACCCAGCAGCCCTTTGATCTTGTGCATATGTCAGCTGAGTTGCCAGGGTGTCTCCTAGGGCAGTTTTGAGAAATACTGAGAGACACTGTAGAAAGTAGAAGACCTCAACCATCTTAAAAATATAGATGGTTTATCAGGTTCATCAGCTACTCCTTCATTTGTTAACACACATTATGTTTGTTTGGTAATACTTGGACTTAATAATGCCAAAGTCACTTAAACCTATCTAAAGTGTGAGAGTCAGGGGCCAGAGAAAGAGAGACAGCTGGTATGGGGCATTTGCCTTGCATGGGACTAACCAGGGTTCGATCCTCGGCATCCCAGCTTCTGAGTCTGCTGCACATCACTCTCCCTTTGCAGATGCCTCTGGAGCTTCCTGTAAGAAAAAAAAAAAGGCGTAGTCCCTGTTACCAGGACAACACACAGGGACAGTCTAGAACCCCCGGGAGGAACGGGACCTTTCAGCAACCCTTGGGCCACAGTTGAGGGATGACTTCATGCTTCTTGCAGCTCCCAGAGGACGTGTCTTGGCAGCAGGATCTGGAGGACGCAGTGAAGCCAAGCCAGCAGGCCCGGCCCACGGTCATCCGCTGGTCAGAAGGTGGCAAGGAGGTCTTCATCTCCGGCTCCTTCAATAACTGGAGCGCCAAGATCCCGCTGATCAAGAGGTGAGACTGCCTGTGTTGAGTGGGTCTCTGGGGTCCAGGACTGGGCAGAGAGGCCTAACTCGACTGTGCCCTGTGCCTGAGACTCTCAGGAAGGTTTTCTGAGACCTGGCATGTTCCTATCTGTGAATTCCTTTTCGTTTTCACCCCATAGTGAGTCAGAGATGCTTTACCACTGAGACTTCCTGCCGCAGACAGATGTAGGACAGCTTCACAGGTGCCATCTGGGGACAGTGTGAATGAAAGGCCTTTGGGTGCAGGAATAGGGGCCTAGTACAGTCACTCTGGCCCCTCCTAAAACCAAGTGCACTGTGAAATTCTCGATAGTGATGCGTTTTGTGACTTACAGAGCAGTAACCTGGGTAGTTAACTGGTTATCAGCATGACCTTTTCTATACCAGTAACTTTCAAAAAAAATGCTCACCAGGATTTGGAAAGGGTACCTTGGGGCCTTTCAGTACTCTCAACCTGTCTCACATCTTATTTATTTATACAAAGAAGCAAAAAAGTCGTACTAAGGTGAACCATTCAGGGGCTTGACCTCCTTCTCATTCTTTTCCTGATGTCAAGAACTGACATGGGAACTGGAGCAGTAGCACAGCGGGAAGGGCGTTTGCCTTGCATCTGCCAGGTCCAATTTCCAGCATCCCATGTGGTCTGCTGAGCACCACCAGGAGTAACCCCTAAGTGCAAAGCCAGGAGTAACTCCAGTGCATCGCCAGGTGTGACCCAAAAAGCAAAAAATAAAAATTAAAAAAAAAAAAGCACTAACATGCTGTAGAAAAGCAGGCAAATGCATGTCCACAGTGACAGAACAGGAGATTGGGTGTGACTGTTAATTAGTACACAAGTGGGTGAGCAGCTTAGGAATTGAAGACTTGTGACCTCGGACCTTGTAGTTTGTGACTATCTCCTGGTTTTGACATCCTTCTGCTCTGAGGAATTTGGCCTGTAAGCTTTGTGTTTTCTTCTCTAGCCATAATGACTTTGTGGCCATCCTGGACCTCCCTGAAGGAGAGCACCAGTACAAGTTCTTTGTGGACGGACAGTGGGTTCATGACCCATCTGAGGTAAAGGCCTTGCTCCCTGAGGGGGACCCTCCCAGAGCAGCCTCACCTTGCTGTTCCTCCCCCTGGCAATGGTTCCTGCCATCAGGATTGAGGGTGGCCATTCTACACTGGAGGGTTTGCCTCTTGATAAAACGTGGAGGTGCCCAGGCTGACCATGTTTGCAAAGAGAGTGATTGGATGAAGGCACTAGGCTGGAAATGAAAATTCACAAGGTGTTTCCTGTTCCCTGTTTCAGCCTGTAGTGACCAGTCAGCTCGGCACCATCAACAATCTGATCCATGTCAAGAAATCTGATTTCGAGGTGTTTGATGCTTTAAAGCTAGACTCCATGGAAAGCTCAGAGACATCCTGTCGAGGTGATTCTGGAGTATTTGCTCTTGCATGGTGTGTTCTTCTGATGGTTTATGTTCCTCCCCAAGAACGGATCTTGTTCTTTTCTTCCATTTTCTCCTCAGCAGTCTATTGAATCACGGATATATAAACATTTAAATGTCCTTCTCTGGGACAAAGAATAAGCAGCAACAACAGAAATCTCAGTCTGGGGGATTTGATTTCAAACTTTTTAACCAGCAACCTGCCACAGAAGGCTAATGGCGCAGTGCTTGCCTTTGTGGTTTGTGATGCTCTCTGGTTTCTATTTCATCTCTCTCTTTTTGTCACTGATAGACTCTGGCTTGCTATTTGAAAACCTGTTTCTAGTGACAGGTGAGGTTCCCTTGGCCATTGGCGTAGTGTCACATCAGAGACTCATTCCTCTACTTCCCCTGCTCAGTTTCCTCAGCCCGATGCTGTGGTGGTTGGTTCAGCGGCAGCTCAGCACCTCCGGAGGCCCTTCCAAGTATAAGTGTTCTGGAGGAGCAAAGCCCCACAGTTCCTCTGTGTGTGTGTGTGTGATGGGGGGGGGGGAGGGGTTGTCTTGGTTTTTTTATTTGGGGTCCACACCTGGCAGTGCTCAGGGGTTACTCCTGGCTCTGCACTCAGGAGTTACTCCTGGCAGGTGCAGGGGATCATATGGGCTGCCACGATCGAGGCCGGGTTGGCTGTGTGTAAGACAAATGCCTCCCTGCTAATTAGCATTACAGCCCTACTTTGTGTATATTAACCAGAAGGCTAATCATTGCTTAGGAAAATTATAAGAATATTGTTTCATTATATCAATTCAGAAAGTCTAAAATGTGACTTTTCTTCTTATCTGTTGGGGCTCTAGTTAAAAAGACTTTAAAGTGGTGAATTCAGGATCATGCAGATAGTTCAGGGGTCAGGGGTGCGTCTTCTGCATGCACACAACCCCAAGTTTGAGCTCCATCTACCATATAGGCCTCCTCCAAAACTGGCCCGAGTATTCTGGCAAATATTCTGGCAAACCCATCCCACCAGGCTAGCTGAATATCTTTATAAGCGGCCCAGTTGGGAGTCTCCCAAAGCCCCTTTCTCTCCCCCTCCCCCCCCCACACACACAAAGTAAATGGTGAGGCCCTTGTGAATTTTTGTTTCTTTATTGTTGTTTTTTTGGAGGGTGGGGGAATGGAGGCACAGTGTGAGACCACATCTACTCATGGTCTTTCCTTGGTTCTGTAAACAAGGGTCACTTGGTAGTGCTTAGAGAACCATATATGGTGTCAGGGATAGAACTTGGGTGCAAGACACGTACCTTAACCTCTGCACTCTCTCTGCTCTGAAAGGAGTGAATTCCTTTAGGAGGAGGGGGTGCGGGGGAGCACACCCGGCAGTGTTCACGCTTACTCCTGGCTCTGTGCTCAGTTTGTCACTACTGGTGAAAATCAGCACCATATGCAGCAGCAGGGATCAAACTTGGGTTGCCCACATAGAAGACAAACACCTTAATCTATGTGCTCTCTCTCTTTCTCTGGCCCTGACCCTTGTGACCTTTTTAAATGTTTTTTCATTATATTTCTATTAGATTCTCATTCTGGCAAAGCAATCAATAAATAATAAATATACAGTTATACAGAAAGACAGCAAGAGTAGTAAAGTGCTTTGGATACTTTTCATGCCAATTTCCTGGTCTTTCCTTTTTTCACCCAGTTTCCTGATCTGCCGAGGAAAGATTTAGAATACGACTTATTAGGAGTTGACAGATAACAGGATTTAATCTCTACTTAGTGACCTTCTTGCCATGTATGTGATATTAGGCAAATCCCCTCATTTTTTTTTTTCATGAAAAGAAAATACAACTGTTTCATCTACTTCCCTGGGTATTTACAGATCACTGAAAGTACTTTGAAGCATCTTAAATGCTGTATGTGGGCTTTTTTGCTTTTTGGGTCACACCCGGCGATGCACAGGGGTTACTCCTGGCTCATGCACTCAGGAATCACTCCTGGCGGTGCTTGGGGGACCACATGGGCTGCTGGGGATCGAACCCGGGTCAGTTGTGTGCAAGGCAGATGCCCTACCTGCTGTGCTATCACTCCAGCCCTGTATGTGGGCTTTTTTCCATTTTTTATTTAGGCACCATGATTTACAGTACAAAAGTTTGAAGCCATGCTAGTTCTCTTTGGTTTTAATATATTTCTTTCTCTTATGTCTGCATACACATTTTGCATTTTACGTTTGTCTGTTTTGTGTTTGGGTCACACTTAGCTGGTATGGAGACAGATGAAGGAGACCGTGCAGTGCCAGGACCAACCTGGTTCTTCTTGCATACAAAGCCTGCGCTCCAACCCTTTAAACCATCTCCCCAGCCCTGCTCAAGTATTTTCATGTTTTTAGCTAAAAATTGCAGAGGTAAAGTTCACCCTTTTAAAGTGAGCAGTTTGGTAATTTTTTAAATGTTCAAACATACGCAGCTGTTATCATTAATTGATTGCAGAGCGTTTTTGTCACCCCAAAGAAATCCTTAGCACTTACTTCTATTTCCACTTCCTCTGACAATCACAGAGCTGCTTTGTGTCCCTTTGGATTTGCCTGTTTAGGACATTTCTATAAATAGGGTGGTACAATGTATGGTGTTTTGTGTCTAGCTTCTTTTACTTAACACAGGTTCCCAAGCTTATTCAGCCTACCACTCTTTCTCAGGGAAAAACTACTCAGTGACCCCCTGGAAATCTGCTTTCTTGACACAAATAAGCAGAAAGTGACTTCCCCCACCCCACGCCAACAACCCCTGGGGATCATTCCAGTGCCCGAGGGGGCTGCTACCCACTTAGGGAAACTGACTTGGCATAGTGTTTTCAGGATTTCAGAATGTGTCAGCATTTCAGTCCTTTTGTTAACCGAAAATTTCAGGGAGCCATTAAAAAGGCAAAGCATATTTATTTGGGAATTGCAGTTCTGGGAACACAGGTTCAGGTTTGAAACCCAAAATGTGTCCCAAGGATGGACCCAGGCTGGAAGATTCTTACAGAGAGATAAAGGAAGGTTGGGGCAACAAATGAAGTAGTGGTCAGGGGTAGAACCACTGAGATTACGTAGGTGAAAGTTCTATTTACCGTCTTTGCAGATGGGAAACTAGTGTTTGTGCTGGCTTCTGTGAATGTTGGCTGTTTGGCTCAGCCAAGAGGTCTTGCCCTTAAGAATAGCTCGTCCTCCAACCCTGTTTAAAAATGGTTGCAGCGATGTCAAGTTTATATACCATGACTGAGTAAGATTCAGCCATGGCTTTGCCATTTTATTTATGCTCATTAACAAACGGACATTTAGATTGTTTCTACTTTCTATTATTAATAACATTAGGAACATTTGTATTCAAGTTTTTATGTGGACTTATGTTTTCATTTCTCTTGAGGGTGTACCCAGGAGTGTAACTGCTAACATATGGTGTCCGGGGTTAACTTCTCGGGGAACTGCCAAGCCACTCCAAAGCAGCTGCATCACTTCATATTCTCACTTAAAATGGGAATAATAGGAAGGTTTCTGTTTCTCCACATCCACACCAACACCTATTATCTCTTTTTTCACAGTAGCGTTCTTAATGAATGTGAAGTGGTATCGAATTGATTTTGACTTGCATTTCCCGGCTACATATTTAATTTTGTCCTTGTGTTACAAAAATCATAGTATGGGGCCAGAAAGAAAGCACAGCAAGTAGGACATTTTTCTTGCATGCAGCCAACCCAGGTTCAATCCCCAGCATATGATATGGTCCCCCAAGCCCACCAGGAGTAATCCCTGAGTGCAGAGCCAAGAGTTAGCCCTGAGCACCACTGGTTGTAGCCCAGCAAAACAAAAAAAGCAAAAATCGTTTTTCAGTAACCTTAGACTTGATAATCTTGTTATCTTGGTCCTTGAGTTGAAAAAGTAAAAGGTTAATTTTTTTGTATGTTTGACATTTTATAAGGCATCACCATATTCCATTATCTTATTTAATGTCTACCCAGAAACATCAACATTGTGGAACAGAGTTTGTATTTACACAGTTTGTATTTACCCAGTTGTAAATGACGTAGTTCTTCACCCCGATCTTGATAAGGAACTTAATGTTCACGCCTAGTACAGCTCACACCCCACCATCGTCATCCTTCTAACTCATGCCCAGCAGGTAACATGTTTGTCATCCGTTACTTCTACCACATGCATTATTATCCGTCGTGTAATGACAGGGTTTTTTCCTTGCATTTTTACTAGTCCTCCAACTTTCCCTTCTATTTGGGTAAATATCTTCCAGACCTTTCCAGCTCACCCCCAGGGCCTTATGGGCAAGAAATGTATGTGTTCCGATCCGAGGAGAGATTCAAATCCCCACCCATACTTCCTCCTCACCTGCTCCAAGTTATTCTTAACAAGGACACTAATATTTCTGTGAGTATCCTGAGAATATTGCCGGGGCACTTTGGGATCGCTTGAACCTTCTGGGCTAAAGATTAGTGATTCCAGAGGTTGGGATAATTACAAAGGTGTATTGAGAATATAAATTATATATGTCTGTCGGTAGAATAGATGTTTTCCTTAGCTAAATTTATATACTAATATCAAAACCCAGTTTTTACCAGGGATGTGACTCAGTGGTAGAGCACAGGCCTTGCTCAGGGTTTGATTCTAGGCACTGCAAAAAGAAAAAGAAAAAGCATATTAAAATTCATAGTTGTCTTCTACTCCTGATAAATCAGGCCCAGAACTTTGGATAACTAAAACCTATTCCTGGGACTATTATTCTAGTACTAAGATTATTTGTCATTTGAGGCTATACAAAAGGAAGTATAACTGCTTGGGTTTTTTTTTCTTTTTGCATATAATTTCCATCTAGTCAATGCATTTGATTCTCAGTACTATTATTTTTGCCTCTTAATCCAAGTTTTCTATATATGTTGTGGACAAAATTTTTGTTCAAACTCTTATTTAGGAAGATCAAGAGATGCTAGAATCTCTGCCCTAGAATCAGAACTCTAATTCTCTGGAATGAGAATGTCGTATTTATTTAAACTTTGCATACTTAAAAATAAATAAATAATACATTCTAGTTTAGAGTTTTTTAGCAGTCTCAAAGAGCTCTGAGGAAGTTTGGACTTGTTTGCTTTAAGACTGTGCATTTAGCCCTACTTAATGTTTTTTTTCCCCTCAGTGTGACCCGGCTTTGCTCCCAGAGCCCAATCATGTTATGCTGAACCATCTGTACGCATTGTCCATTAAGGTGAGAGGCATCTTGCCAACAGGGGATGGGGGGTAACTAACCTAGGCTCTCAGCCAGCATCTGCTCGGCTGCTTCATGAAGGTTGCAGTTATTGGTCAGATGATGAGAGAACTTTAGTCTGGTTGGTTTGGGTGTTGGGCCCGCACTTGGTGCTGTTCAAGTGCTGCTTCCCGTCGTACTTTGGGACCACATGGGGCTGGGGCCGCCTGCATGCAAAGTACGTGCTCGGCCTTTGGAGCTCTCTGTTCGACCCTGGAGAGCTTTTCTTTAAAATTAGTGGAGAGGGGCCAGGAGCAATAGTATAAGCAGGAAAGGCGTTTGCCTTGCACGTGGCCAACCTGGGTTTGATCCCCAGCATCCCATATGGTTCCCTGAACACTGCCAGGAGGAATTCCTGAGTGCAGAGCCAGGACTAACCCCTGAGCATCCCCAGGTACGGCCCAAAAAGCAAAAAAAATAAGAAAAAACTAGAAGCCAGAACCAATAAACAGTTTACCATGAGGAAGGCAGTGAGGTCCTAGAAGGCTGGTATCTTCTGAGTGTGTCATGTGCTAGTTCGGTATTGAGTGTTACTCATCTCTAGGGCCCCGTCAGGTTGCTCATTGCTTTCCTATTAGTAATGAGAGAATGAGTAATCAGAGAATGAGAGAATTAGTAATGCCTGGCTGCCCCAGCCCACAGGGAGTCAGAGTAGGCGTCACGCTTGACCCTGCAGCCAGCCTCTCTGCGTGTCAGACTGTCAGATCAGGAGTGTGTGGCCTTGAAAGCCCGATGTGTGGAAGGGGCTGCTTGAACTAATGAAGTGTCTCCCCACAGGACAGCGTGATGGTGCTGAGCGCGACCCATCGCTACAAGAAGAAGTATGTCACGACTCTGCTGTACAAGCCCATCTGAGGGGACCCTGGCCTGCATCCCGGGACTCCAGACCAGCACCCTCCTGGCCTTTCTGTACCACATCGGTCTCCACTGAGACTGGAGAGCTGATGCGCCTTGAGGCCCATGCGTGTGTTTCAGAGCCTCCCAGTAGCGGGTTCCGCTTTTGCACGTGGTTGCAGATGAGAGCTTTGAGTGTCTGGAATTCGTTTCAAAAAAAAAAAATATTTCCCTATGAGAGGAAGGTCACTGGAAGCCTCCTGGCTCTATGCGTTCTCTCTCCCTGGACCTGTTTTGAGGGAGCTGCAGGAAGTGTTTTTTTTTTCCTTAGAGTGGATGAAGCGCAAACTTCCAGAATCCTCTCGGGTGGAGGGTTTGGCCGCCTGCTTGGCCGTGCGGGCGATTGACTCGTACCAGCTGCCCCCATTCAGAGGCAGCCCTTCTCGCCTGGGCCCATGGCTCTCTGTGCTCCCCCCAGTGTGTGGCACGGTGTGTGTTCTCCCCAGCCTTCCCCCGGCCGTGAGGACCCTTTTCTTGCCCGGTCTTGCTTTGAAAGCCTTCGGATTCCTCCCTGACCCACTCTGGCCCAGCCCATGGAGAAGTGAGTGAGCCCCTCATGCCAAGTGGGACCAGCTCCTCCCTGAAAGATGCAGGCCCCTGCCACAAGGACTCCTTTTCACCCTGTGCACTTGCTTAACTTGGTCACCACTTGTGTAAACCCACCGAGGGAAATGGGTCTGAGCTGCACGTTCCAGTCCTGGGTCAGCTGCCACAGCGCTAACCTTTCCTGTCGATGTTGCCCGGCTGTCACTGTCAGGTGGGCATAGAAGCGAGGGAAGTGCTTGACCCTTCGTCCTTAGGAAAATGTGGTGCCCCCCCTCCCGTTCTTTTTTAAGTTTAAAAAACCGTGCTTCTCTCAAGATAGCACTGAAGTTCAACCCCCTGAAAGGTGACTCCCTAGATTTCCGTTTTCTTCTCTGTGTAATCTGACTGTGACATGGTCAAGCCTGTGGCCATGGTTCCATCAGACTCTGCACCAGACTTCATCTTCACTGAGGCTCACTCTGGGCGCCTCACAGATTCCCTCAGTTTAAAGCTCCGTTAGATCCAAAAGCCAGGAAATAACCCCGGTGTCCCTGGCCATGGCAGGCGTCGCTTCTGGCCCTGAGTGCTGACAGATCAGTTCTGTGCTTCTGATTCCACTTTTTAAAATGCGTTGAGTGACAGAAAGGCCTCGGTGATTTTGGTCCATTCCTAGGATTCAGAGAGAAAACATTTTTTCCCGCAAATGTTTGTGGCTCTTCCATTCCAGATCAACGCAAGCCCTGCAGGAGGCCGAACGCGATGCCTGCCAGACTCCTTGACTGCCGAGAGCAGCCCGGCTCTGAGAGGGCTCCCACAGGTCAGTGGTGCCTCCGACCTTGCCTGCACAGTGCTGACCCCGCTCCTGCCCTGGGCGTGGGACCTCTTAGACTCGGGGTGTGAGGCAGATGGTGTGGATGGGGGAGAGGTAGCATGTTGACCAGGAGTGCAGATCACTGCGTGTCCAGGTGGGTCCTTCCAGGAAGGGAATTCTGCCTTGGTCACTCAGGGCCACCTGCTACAGCCAGTGGCTCTGGGACAACTGTCGGGGATGATGTGCCATTGTGAACTCCAGGCCAGCCCCGCTCTCAAGCTGTCTTCACTAATTCTGAACTTTTGTTTTCCCACACCAGTTAAATAAGGGGGCCACTTAGGGGTATACAGGATCTTGGTCCTCACCTTGAGGATTGTGTTAAACTCATTTTTCGTCCGTTGTGTGGCAGTGGATTGGCCTGTGTTTGTGGGTAAAATTCTGGGCTCCACACAGGTGTCCAGAAGCAGGGCGGGGCAGAGAAAGATCCTTTGCAGTTTCTCTCAAATCCAGAGGCTTCTGGAACCAGGTCAGGCTTCAGTGACAGCAGGCTTTGGTGCTGGTGACCTACGGGTCTCTGATCTGGCAGGGTGCATGGTGTCTCGGTCTCCTCAGCTGTGGGGTTGCTCCCAGCAGATGGTGTGTTGGACCTGTTTGCTGCCTGGCGGGGGACGAGTAAGTGGGACTGGGGGGTGCCCTCTGCAGCACCGTTCCTGCTCAGACAGCCCAGATCCTGTCACACCCTCGCCCTGATCCTCCAGCAGTTCAGAGGAGTCCCAAAGTACAGCTCCCTCTTCCTTTCTCTTGTGACAGGGAGAGTTTATTTTGTGCAGAAAAGGTTGAGCAGATTTGATTTTTAATTGCTTTTAAGTTTTTGTTGTTGGACCTGAGCAATAGTACAGTGGGGAAGGCACTGGCCTTACATATGGCCAATCCAGGTTTGATCCCCGGCATCCCATATGGTCCCTCCAAGCACAGCCAGGAGTAATGCCTGAGTGCAGAGCCAGGAATAACTCCTAAACATCATTGGGTGTGACCCAAAAGGCCAGGGGGGGAAAAAAAGCATTTCATTGTTGCTGATGGGAGTTTTCTAGATTTCAGGTTGACCATGTAAGAAAATGACTCTCTGAGAGGGCTGACCCCAACTCCCACTCCCCCGCAAAGGTGTAATGCTTTGAATGCTTTGGGTTCTGATTGTAATGACCAGGCTGATGAGGTCACTGCTGGGCTAGAGCACATGCTCAGTTCCCTCCCTGCACCACAGTCAAGCCCAGAGCTGAGAACAGCCCTCAGACCCCTCAGCACTGTCAGGGGTGGCCCCAAACCAAAACAAGGAAGGACCAAGCCAAAGGTATGAATCCGAGGAGAATAAAAGCAAAAATTATCAAAATTGAAAATGGCTGCTTTCTTAAACTCGGCACATAACTAGTATCCTGGATCTCACAGAATTTACCATGTGGAATCTCTAGAATTTCGTGCATAAAACATCTTCCGGCATCTCTAGTTCCTCCTTGCCTCCCTTACTCCCAGTTTCCACCCTTGCTTCATGGTCAGCATGACCCAAACCGGTTGTCAGCAGTCGTGACTAGGGGGAAACTTTCACAGGTATGAGGTTGCTTTCAGCTGACCACTGGAGGCCACCCTGGCCGCGTCAGGGCTGGCAGCTTCAAACAAGACCCCGTGAAAGCAGGGGCCTCGTGGGATTTCCCAGAGGGAAAGCCAGGCCTACCCGCTCACTCCCCAGCAGCTATTTCCAGTCGCTTGTGGACCTGAAGGATCTGAGGTGAAACTCTTGAAAAGTCTCCATCCTCCAGGTCTGCTGCCGATACAAAGGTTTGGGGAAAGGTGCAGGTTCCCAGCTGGGTTTATGGAACGAAGGGACAAATGCCGGAGATGGAGGATAGAAATCCCTGATTTGAATTGGGGAACTAGGGCCTTTAATATTGGCCTCAGCGAAAAAGGATATGCAATAGTCATGTGGATGCGTGTGTTTGAAAGCCATGCTCATCCTAGAGAATCTGGAATCCCTGTGTTGCAGTGATCTGGGCTGTGGGCTGACAGACATACGGTTGGTGCCTCCACTGTCCGGTTTGGCCCTAAAATATCTTGCTGCTGCTTGCAGGGGCTCTTGGCTCCACTCACCTTCAGGTGGAGGAGCTGGGAGGGCCAGAAGAGACACTCTCTGAGAATGCTAGCTCTCGGCCTTTGTCTCAAGCACCAGTAACCTTGGAGGGCAAAGGGTTGTGATTTTTCCCCTGAATCCAAACTATGGAAGTAAAATGGCCAAACCTTTTTTAATGGAAGAAAAGAGAAAAAACTCAGGCCAGTCCATAGCCCTGGGGTTCATCCACAGTTCTGAGACAGGCTTTGTCCTGATTTGCTTTTCTCACTTGTACTTTGATGTGCGTAAGTTTCATTAAAAATCAAAAACTTTTTTATTAGTCCCAACATTAGTTGGAGTTGAGCTACTGTGTGCAGAGCTACTGTGTGCAGCACAGTGCGTCTGTGGTGAGACCAGTGTGAAGTGTTCTGCAGACTTAAGTCAGGTTAAATGATGAGGGGATGCTCCCATAAGTGTTCTGTCCGATATCTTTCTCTCCCTCAGTGCAGAGCGCTTCATACCCAATGTGTGCTTTTAGGGTAGACAGTGCTCACAGCATCCTCACCTCCACACGAGGTCCCTTATTCGAGACATGTTTGGTAGTTAATTGGAAGCTGTTGATTGTTACCTCACTGAATCCTTTTGGATGAGTGCAGCTCGGTCAGAAGGGGGGAGTACGACTATAATTTGTAGGGAATTAAGTGTGAGTCCTCCTTTAGTTGGTACTCTTTGTAACCTTGAGTGTTGAGATGCTGAGCTGTTTAAACTTCAGTCTTTCACGAACAAATGGTATACAAGAGTTGATGTTAATGCTTCTCTCTATACATGATTTGTCTTTGGACTCTGGCATGTCTGAAAATTGTGTGATGTAACACAGAAATATGGGGTGTTTTTCCCATTAAACTATTGAATAAAGAGTATTACACAGCAATAATACTTGAGTTCTTTATTGGTTCCTGATAATGTATATTTTCTCTCTCCCTCCCCTTGGTAATTACAGGAGCTAAAGAAAGTGAATTGAGGTATGGGAATACTTGAATAAAGTGAGAATTCAGGAGTATGGGGGCCACAAATGGGGTCATTCTAGTTGCTGCTTCTTTTTTTGTTCCAGGATATGCCAGCATTTAACAATAATGCATACTCGGTAATGTGACTATGTGACTCTTAGCGTTTCCTTTTTCTTTTTTCCTTTGTAACTGTTACAGTCAGAGGACTTGCTGCCCCCTCCCCAGATAGCACAGTGGTTAGGGTGTTTGCCTTGCATGAGGCCGACCCGGGTTCAATTACTCCATCCCTCTTGGAGAGCCCGGCAAGCTACCGAGAGTATCCCACCTCATGGGAGAGCCTGGCAAGCTCCCAGTGGCATATTCGATACGCCAAAAACAGTAACAACAAGTCTCACAATGGAGACGTTACTGGTGCCCGCCCAAGCAAATTGATGAACAACGGGAGGACAGTGCTACAGTGCTATCATGGTGCTACTGTGGTTTATAATACTGCTCAATAGGATTTCTTACCGACATCATTCCAACATCACACCTGCCACAGAGCCCACTTCCCTCCACCAGTGTCCCAAAGACCCCTTCCAGCCTTCCCTGCTCAGATAAGCTCAGTTCTGTAACATTTTCTTAATGCTGAAATGCACATTAGCTCTCATCATTCTTGTGCATGGACTGACTTCCATCCCTGCTGCTGCTGCTGCTGTTGTCACTCAGAATCCACAGGAACAGTGATGTCAAGTCCCCCACCTCCACTCCAGGTCCATGGGAATCTGTGGTATGGGGGCCAAGGGTTATTCAGGAGTTTGGGTGTGCTCCGAAGGAAACTCAACATCGCGAGAGTTTTCCCTTTATTGGAGGTCAGGTGATGTGTAGATCGAAGCTCAGGGCCGTAAGCAGAGGTCCACATGTAAGAATTTTTTAATCCAAAGTGGGTTATTACAACTTCTCGGTTCCTGCTGAATTCACTTCAGTAACAGCTACTAAATCCCTCCTGGTGATGATTGATTGTGCTGAAGAACTCAAATGAGGACTCCGAGTCTCTGTAGAACCTGGGTGAGAACACGGAGCCCCTGAAGAAATCAGGTGAAGAGCCTGAAGGAGCCACAAACATTGCTGCATAAAGGTGATGTTCCAGATCACAGACTAGAATGTGCATGTCAACTGATCTTCAGCCATGACCCACAGCCCTGACTCTTAGATAGGAAAGGCAAGAGTGGTGTCTGTTGCTGCCAATCAGT